CATTAAAAGAACAATGCTGTCTTATAACTATTTATCCTATCCATATCATAATCATGAAACTAAAATATAGAGATAAGCCAGTAATAGTTATCTAATTTCAACCTGGCTATTTTGACAGCTTGTATACCCAATCTAAAATTATGGTAAGTTAACTAGCATTTTCAACATTTCTACAAAGCGTAATGAAAATTATAGATATTTTTTCTTACCCATATTTTGAAAGAAATTTAGGATATCCTCTAAAACCATTAGGCTTTCTAAAACAGAAAAAAATACAATTGCACAGGAATGCTGATAACTATACAGGTAGCAATTCATTGCATATTCATTCTTTTGGGAGGCTTCTTTCTGCAAGCTCAGGAAACTACTGTTTACATAAATTTGGATTGAACAGAAGAGTCATTCAATTGTATAACTCTGTACTTTTGCCAGAAGATGATTGAATGGAAAACTGAAATTCTCATAAGAGTGCCAAGGGATTCCCTATGGAACAAACTGAAGCTGTTCTAGTGTGTATTGTGGATTTCGACATATATGAAAAGTCCAGATTGTCCCCAGTGGCATTTAACTTCTGGAATCATAAACACTTTTTCATGTGAACACTTCTAGTTTTAACAAATGAAATAATATTTTATATACTATTTACCGCCACAGATGACACTTCTGTCATGTTTGTATAAACTTTAGTTAAATGTGAAATTTACTCTTAGTGCTTTGATTAGTATAATCTTATCTGAGGTAATCAAAACATAATTTAATAAGGCCAAAGTTTCTGATTCCCTTTAGGAGACAAACCCAAATACAGTTGTCTTTCCGGTGAAAATTGCAGCTCAAATTTTAGACATATACCTAGTTCCCCCATTTTGTGCTAAAATCTGATGGGAAATCTTATTAGACAAAGTCAATGGATGAAACAATGAAAAATAAGGACAAGGACTGCAGTGGGAAGTGCCCTGAATTTTTCTGACATAAAAAGAAACACATAGACCAATGGAACAGAATAAAGAACCAGAAACAAATCCACACATCTACAGTGAATTCATTTTTTAACAACGGTTCCAAGAACATACATTGGGAAAAGACAGTCTCATCAATAAATGGTGCTGAGAAAACTAGATATCCATATGCAAAAGAATAAAACTAGACCCCTATCTCTCACCATATCCAAAAATAAAATCAAAATGAATAAAAAGCTTCAATCTAATACCTCAGACTATGAAACTTCTACAAGAAAACATTGAGGGAAGTCTCCAGGACATTGTTCTGGGCAACGATTTATTGAGCAATACCCTACAAGAATAGACAACCAAAGAAGACATGGACAAATGGGATTACATCAAGTTAAAAAGCTTCTGCACAACAAAGGATACAATCAACAAAGTGAAGAGACAACCCACAGAATGGGAGAAAATAGTTGTAAACTACCCACCTGACAATGGATTAATAACCAGAATATATAAGGAACTCAAACCCCTTTATAGGAAAGAATCTAATAATCTGATCAAATACAGGGTAAAAGATTTGAATAGACATTTCTCAAAAGAAGACATACAAATGGTAAGCAGGCATATGAAAAGGTGGTCAACATCCCTGATCATTAGAGAAATGCAAATCAAAATGGCCTGGCATCTAGTGCCTGCTGTTTTTCCAGGCACACAGTGCAAGCTGTCACTGGATCTACCATCCTGGCATCTGGAGGACAGTGGCCCTCTTCTCATAGCTCCACTAGGCAGTGTCCCAGTGGGAACTCTGTGTGGGGGCTCCAACCTCACATTTCCCCTTCCCACAGCCCTAGTAGAGGTTCTCCATGAGGTCTCCGCCCCTACAGCAGGCTTATTCCTGAACATCCAGGTGTTTCCATGCATCCTCTGAAATCTAGGCAGAGGTTCCCAAATTCTTGTCTTCTGCACACCCACAGGCCACAGGAAAGCCATCAAAGCCTGGGGCTTGCACCCTCTGAAGCAATGACTCAAGTTATACCTTGACCCCTTTTAGCTATGACTGGAGCTGGAGCAGCTAGGGTGCAGGATGCCAAGTCCCAAGGCTGCACAGAACAGCGGGGCCCTGGGCCCAGCCCATGAAACCACTTTCCCCCTTAGACTTTTTGGCCTGTGATGGGAGGAGCTGCCATGAAGATCTCAGAAATGCCCTGCTGACATTTTCTGTATTGTCTTGGCTATTAATATTTGGATCCTTGTTACTCATGCAAATTTCTGCAACAGGTTTAAATTTCTCCCCAGAAACTGGGTTTTTCTTTTCTGCCACATGGCCTGGCTACACATTTTCCAAACTTTTATGCTCTGCTTCCCTTTTAAAGATAAGTTCAAGTTTCAGAAAATCTCTCTGTTCACACACATAATCATACACTTTTAGAAACAACTAGGTAACAAAATATCTTTAATCCTCTGTTGCTTAGAAATTTCTTCTGCCAGATACCCTAAATCATCTCTCTCAAGTTCAAAGTTCCACAGATCTCTAGGATCTCAAGGGAAAAAC